GGGCGTGCTGGCGGGAGCCTCTTTCTGCCAGGTATGGCTGGGCAGGGCTCACCTGCCCTGCCTGGGCACCCTACGTACCCAGGTGTAGGTGAGGTCGGAGTGTGGGGCTGTACTGGGCACCTACTCACCACACCAAAGGGGCTTTCCCCTTCTTGGTGGGCACCTTGCAGCTGGGCAGGAAGGTGGAGCTTCCCCAGAGGCTGAGTGGTGCTGCTCTGTCTCTGTCCCTCACAGGTCGCGGTGCTCTACATGTGCACACGTCTCATCGTCAACCTGTCCCAGACCTACATCGCCATGTACCTCACCAACTCGCTGCAGCTCTCCAAGGTGGGCACAGGGCAGGGCTGGGGCACCTGGGCAGGGGCCTGGACTGTGGCCTGGAGCTCATCTCCTCCCTGGCCTGGTCTCTTGCAGAAATACATTGCCACCATCCCCCTGGTGATGTATGTCAGTGGGTTCCTCTCCTCCCTGCTCATGAAGCCTGTGAACAAGTGGATCGGTCGGAATGTGAGTCCAGGGGGGAGTTAGACCCCAGGAAAAGCCCAGGGGCCAGATCCTGGCTGTGGGCAGAGCACCTGAGCTGGAGAGCAGGGACCCCTCATGGACCCTCTTCCCAGTGCAGACCTGCTGGGACTGATGGGTGGCTGTGGGTCCTGCTGGGACTGGGGGTACTGGTAGGCAGATGTGGGGGTGAGGGCCTGTCCTGCACACCTCTGGGGCTCAGGGAGGCAATGCTGGTCCAGAGTCACCCTGTCCTGTGCAGCCCTGACCTGGCTGGAGAGCCCTGTGGTGCCCACGAGGGGCAGGGGGAGGTCTGGCTGCACTGCCCTGGGTGGGCACGGGGTCTGCAGTGCCAGCAGGAGGGAGCAGCCCCCAGTGTGTCCCCTCTGTGCTGGTGGGTGCCAGTGGGGTGTCCCCTGTCCCCATGGACATCCCACCCACAGCTCTGCCTGGGGCTCAGCTGTGAAACAGCCCTGACCACAGCAAAGCCTTGCTTTGGGGATTCTTAGCTTAAATCCAGCTGGGACAGAGCCAGGGCTGTCTCCTGTGGGTCCTGGGCAGTGCTGCCCCCCGTGCCCTCCCAGCTTGCCCCTGCCTTGCCCAGTGCCAGCTGAGCTGGTGGCTGAATCTCCCTTCTCTGCCCATCTCCATTGCAGCTGACCTACTTCGTGGGCATCCTGGTGGTCCTGGCCTTCGCCTCCTGGGTGGCCCTGGCCAGGCCGGTGGGAGCTGAGATCTATGGAGCAGCTGTGCTGCTTGGGGCTGGTTCTGCCACCATCCTGGTCACCTCCCTCTCCATGACCGCAGACCTCATCGGCACCAACACGGTACAGCTGCTCCTCGCTGGGAGGGACTGGGGCATGCGAGGGCACAAGGCTGTGGCTGCCAGGGCTGTGTGGTACAGCACAGCATGGCACAGCAGCTGATGAGGTTCCTTCTCCCCTCACAGCACAGTGGAGCATTTGTCTACGGTGCCATGAGCTTCACGGACAAGGTGGCCAATGGCCTGGCTGTGATGGTCATCCAGAACCTGCACCCCTGCCCGTGAGCATCTCCGGGGGGCAGGGACCCCCCATGGCCTGGGAGCCTGGAGCAAATGCCCCTTGGGCTGGAGCAAGAGGCAGGGGTGGGAGCCAGCGCTGAGTCACAGAATCCCAGGATGGTTTGGGTTGGAAGGACCTTAAAGCTCATCCCATCCCATCCCTGCCATGAGCAGGGACACCTTCCACTAGCCCAAG